GCATTCGTATCTGCTGTGCTGCAGTTCCACCGGACTGGAGGGAGGAGGCCCAGACACAGGCTGTTACGGTGTATTCCAGGTCTGTGACCCTACCATCAAACCTGCGAGATCTGCAAGAGGGGAGATGATGGCTCCTTTCCAAAGCACCACCACTTACGTTCTCCAACTCCCTCATCCTTGGGGAGGGCTGGGGTGGGTGTTTTTATGTACAGTTCTCTACTTTGAAATTGGAGTTTAAATACCTTGTCCTATGGTTTTCTGGTTACATTTCAACAACCTTTCAATAGCCTTTTATTAAAATTCGATGAGTATTTAAAAAAAAGAATCTCCTTTGCTTAACTTCTAGCACGGGAAATTCAGACTGGAATTAAAGTCAGATTTATTGTTTCTAGCACGTGAATCGTCAATTAGTAATAAAGATCCTATCAGCCCTGTTCTGCCCTCATTTACAGCTGTACAAATTGATCTTCAGTGGATTCGTAAGGGAGTAACTTAGAACTTCCTCAGCAATTCCACGTGACGTATAAGCTGTGATGGAGTCCAGCTCTCTCTCGCAGAGCTGCAGCGAGCCAGCTCTGTAATGCTGAGCTTGTCGCTGAGGCAGCACAGGCAGCACTGTGACTACAGAAACGAGGGAGGCTGTTAAGGTGCCATTTTTATACCACCACTTTTCTTAAGGAAAAAAAAAAAACTTCACTACTAGTATGAATGGAAGATTCCAGAGATCAAAGCTGCAGATAACTACTGCTTTCAGAGTAACAGGTAACAGCAGTTCATGAAAGCATTTACCCGCAGAACGTATTTTAATGCAACTACAAAAAGTTTTAATGATTAGGGAGGTCAAATCAATAGCTGGAGATTTAAGGCTCATATCAGCTGAAGCCAAAGTGATGGTGACAAAATGGACTACTCGCTATGTGCCAACAAATAATTTACTTTTAGAAAAATATAATGATAAAAAGATAAGTGTAAAGCCCTGCAGAGATGGAGTTCCACCTTTTTCCCCTGTTACTGAGGCATCAGATGCCTGACATTATATTTAGAGGTATCTTGATACTGTGTCATAGGTTTGTCTGCAATTCCACATGTTCCAACTCCAACCTTGCCAGTTACGCTCTCAGGGGAAGCAAAAATACTCCTCTTTACCTGCGAATGAAACAGAAAACACCATTGCTGCATAATTACTAACTTGCTCTTAAAAAAAAAAACCAAGCAATCATTATCGTTTGAAGGGTTTCAACATCCTCAACTTCTTACTCCATAGACAGGCACACTTTCTCAAGGCTAGCTCATCTATGACACATCATCAGCAGGTGAGACAACAGAGCTGGGAACATCCTGGCACCTAAGTGCTGGATGTGATTGTGGTACTGGGGACCTTGGGTCAGGCCAATAATGAATAAAATTCACCTCTCTCATAAGATGATCTCTAATAATTGTTCATAAGGAAGACTGAAGTTTTACCACTATGTCTGGCACCTCTTGGTCAAGCCACGATAAAAATGAAGTAAGGCTTTAAAATGTCCTCGCTACCTTTTTTGCACTACGCTTGCTATTCCAGGGCAATTACCTAGTGCTGTGTCTGCCAGGTCATAAACACAGCAAGAAGTCAGGCTTGGAGGTTTAGACAGGCCCTCAGGTTTAAGCTCCAGCAAACGCTACCTGGCAACTGACATGAGCCCAGCTCTCCAAGCTAAGCGCAAGCTCAGCCTAAGAGCAGCACTCCTCCAAAATCATCCAGTACAAAACCAGGCCTTTTCAGCGTACAAAATACCAGACCGCACACTTCAGAATCCCAAAGATGAACCCCCTTTAAATCCCTTTAAAAAATACTTCCTCCTCTCTCCCAAAGTACTGCACAGAATTCTATGCCCCGTTGTTATTCACATACTGACAAAACCGAACCAACCTGGCCTTTTTTGTTTTTAGAATAGGCTCTGTTGTTAAACTGTTGCCACTTGACTTTCTGGTCCTCTCGTTCCTGTTCAAGTTCTTTAATTCTCTGAGCTTTTTTCAAAGCTTTCTTCTTTTTATACTCTCGTTGCTGGGCTATCATCTCTTTTCTGGAGAGAAGGAAAAAAGACATTTTATGTTTGTGCCTTTTCCTGTAAGAAACTAAAACCCCTGTAAGACAGACATGCACAAAAGTTTTCCGTAAGTAAATGACAGAAAACAAAGCCAGTAAACATTCTCCACTTCTAGAAAAAAAAAACCAAGCCTTTCCATGCATAAGCATTACATTGCTTATTTATGTATTTGGGCATAAGAACAACAACCACCACCACCACCTGACTAAGACCAAGCCAAACACAGCAACCCATGGGATTGAGTGCAATTCATTTCTGAAACTGAAAGTGTACCTATCAAGCACTTCCACATTTCAGAAACATCTAGGGTTTGGAAAATTTAAACAGCCCATTCCAGTGAAAAGCCCAAACGTTTTGGAGGTCTGCAGGACTCTCATGCTACCAAGTATTGGACAGGGATGGAAGGAAAAGAACAAAGATAAGTTACTTCAGTAAAGATAAGGAAATTCAAGGAGTCGATCTATGCCACAATGCAGCGTCCCTCAGGAGGACCCCTTAGGGAAGGGACCATTGGCTGTAACAAACTCTGAAACTGTACCACTTTTTTTTTTTCTTCCCCCCAAAAAAGTTTCAGCCCTTGAAAATACCTTTCTATGTTAGACACAGTAGGATATTCAGTAAAGCACATCTCCCCAGCAAAAGAGTCAACACAACTACCCTAACACAGGGATGGGGCAGAAGTCCTTCGTGCTGGGAAGTGTACTGTTGTGGGCCAGATCACAGATCTGAGTAGAGCCTGCACTGGATCTGGGCTGAAACTTGTAGGCTCTCTGCTGTCAATGAAAGAGAACCAATTTTTTTTTTTTTTTTTAAATCTACTGCTTACATACTTGGTATCTTGAGATAGCATAATCTGAGTAAAGCAAAGTCTATCACGTTATCTTGCCAGGATACATAACACACATGATACCAGCCACAATAATCTACCAAACATTATATGCTAGATTGATTTAAGATCCTTTTTCAAGCAAACGTGAAGATATTAAAGATATGTAAAATTTCAAAAATGAGAGATTCTATTTCATTAACCAATTTTTATAGCTGGGGGGAACAAACCAAAACAAAACAAAGCAGCTTTCAGACTTCTGCCTGTGTATTACTTACTTGGACATGGGTTTGTTGCCACTGTCCTCTTTTGCTTTTCTCCCCTCTTCCACAGGCTTGAGGTTGAACAGAGGTGTAACTTCAGCATTGCCATATCCAGCAAATGTGACCGCAGCTGTTCCATTCTCCTCATCTATTTCTTCAATCTCAGCTTCATAACACCTGTAAAGATATCATGGCTGTAAGCATGTGAGTAAAGCTTTAATACTCAGCCCTTCAACACCTACACTGTCAACCAGCTAATGGCATTAAGTAAAAAACGTGCAAATATCGGCTTTCATTTTCAGGGACAATACACAAATCAAACCTAGAGATTATTTGCTTAAGGTCAAAGGGACACAAGTACAAAGACTGGAATCTGCTGTATTTGACCTTTAGCATCAAGAAGCAATGGCCTCACAGTTATCAAAACTAATGATTAATGCTGGGGCCAATGTAATCAGATATCCTGATTTGGTTCTAGTTCTGGCAGCTCATGCGATTGAAAAAGATGACCCAACAAAATCCTGCATTCGCAGAACACAACTTTCAGGGAATTCACTGAGGAGTTTTGGAAAATGTCAGCTCACAAGAGCAAAGCTTTGGTTCCATTTTTCTCCATATGAAGAAGAATTAAGGAAAACTGAAGCTTTCAAAATATTCCCCCTTCAACACTTAAAGTTGGAAGTTTTCCTATTGATTTAAAATAGCAATTTTGAAATTTTAGCAGAAATCAGTCCATTTCATATTTATGTGTGTGAAACATTTTGGTCAACCAAACTGACCTCATGATGGGAAAGAGGAAAAAGGACAAGTGACACTTCCAAAAATATTTAAAATAATTGAGTCTAAATTCAGAGCAAAAGGATACCTCAAAAGCAAACAGAGGAATAAAATGAGATGTTTTATAGACAATATTCCCGTTAACATTTACTAAATTAATTTCTTGTGCAATTTTACTGGGCCAACAACATCTTGAATTGAGCTAGATGAAAATACACGGAAACCCAAACTGCATGAGGTAAAAAATATTAATCTCTGGCTAGCTCTTCATGAAACACTGGTCACTTAAATGTTGTAACAGAAGCAGGGGGTTAAAAAAAAGCAATACAATTAAAGTCCAATAAGATCCACTTCAGTGGACACTGGCACATTCTTCCCCAAGCTCTAATCCTCTAACCCAGTGATCAGAGCAAGAAGAATGACCCAATGGTGACCTAAGACAGTAAGATTCAATTTTTAAGTTCTTACACAAAAACATTTCACTCATTAATAATCTGTGACAGAAAGACTGTTCGCTTTCAGGTTTGTTTTCTAGCTAAGACATCAATAGCTATGCCAAAATCTCTATGTGGTTACTACATTGTTAACAGAACCACATTCGTTGAACAACAGAGCTTCTCTCTAAGTGGTAATGACTGGGATATTAGTCCTGCACAAGTAGTAATTTTAAAAAAGCTGCAACAGTTACACATTTTGCAGTATGGAAAGTAATTTTAGAATGTTTATTTCAAAGATTATGAAGTCAGAATGAACTGCTTGGGTTCCCAGAACTTCACAGGCTAACGTAATGGAGACTAAATCTAAAAGGTTGATTCATTCTATAGTTGCGTTACACAGCTAGTTATTTCACAGCCAAGAAACAGTATTTCCAATTAAAAATTAATTTCCAATTAGTGGCACAAACTGAGATGCAGCAAGGATTTTTCTTGATAGCAATTACATATATATGAATGCAATGACAAATTATGAATTATACATCCTGAAACCTTTACAAAAGACTGCTCTGACAGATCAATTCATGAAAGTTTGCCATTTTTTACATTAGCAAATGGTAATTTACCAAAGCTACCCTACTTTTATAGGGTTAGTGACAAATGGGGCGTTTCTAGAAAATGACCCCACATCTCTCTGCTTTTTTATCTAAAATACTGACCTTTAATAAAGACAGTACAAGGATGCCTAATATCATATTTCTTTCCAAATTTCTTTTTGCTTTTAGTCACCCTAGGGGCAGTTCAAACTGAATGAAAGTCTCTTACCATTGCACTATTTCATGTAACTGTTAGAGAAGTTTTCTACACTTACTGTCCATCCTCACTCCATATCGCCATACACCTATCCCCAACCTTCCAGGAGTGACTGGGCAGAGCAGAAGCAGAACTGTCAGAACTTGCAAGAGTTTCTGAAGGTTGTGTTGAAAGAAGATCTTTGGTTAATTCTATGACTTCCTATAAAAGACAAAAAACCCACAAAGAATAATTTTTCAAACTCTGTTACATGCATGTTTTTACCCCAGGCTTACTGGTTTGGTTTTTTTGAAGTTACTGTATTAAATTCATAGCTAGTGTAAAGTGGACTAAGTTTGTTTTGGTTTTTTAATCATTTAACTAAACTCACTCATTGCCAAAGTAGATAAAAAGTTGTATGGTCCTTGCTGTATTGCAGCAAAGTTTCCCATGCCCTCCTCAAAATTGCAAGTAGTCGCCTATTATTTTTATAGCATTTCTTTGTACATGAATTGTTTATCCATAGGCAGAAAGACACAGCTAGACAGTCTCAAGAAAAAACAAAGAATCAACAGTGTGACTCTCTACACACGGCTGCACGTGATGCTGGTTATCGACCAAAAAAAAATATCACACAACATGTGGCAGAGCAAGTATT